CCCCAAAACCCCAAAACCCCAAAACCCCTTAAGCTTAATTTTATGATTAAATGAAATCTATTATAATATATTAAAAAAGTTATGGAATCAATTTAAGAAGCATATCTGATGCTTGATGTTTCTTCTTAATTTTAGAATTTATTACCATTCCAGAGACAAGCACTTATCTTCCACGCAATTAACTTATTTAAAGGGTTAAGATGCACTGGTTTCTAAGAAGATGACCCTAAAAATGAAACTAACACTGGTAAGTAATGCGAAATATATCAATAATGCTCTTGCTGAGTTTTATCCTTAAAGGAAATTAACCAACTTATATGATGAAAGAATCCTTTTAATCTATTTTTGAAATTAGGTATTCTAAATTTACCTCAGGATTGGTAAAGTTAAAATGCAGAACTAGTATCATTCAGGTATGAAAGGCTGAGTGATGAAAATGTACCTTAGAAAGATAGAGAAGAGTTCTATTTCAAATTTCTATAAGCAGCTCATAAGTTCGAGATTAATGCTCTAAGCAGCAATGGAACAAATGATATTTATTCATCAGAATTCGAGTAAGTTTATCCTAACATCAATCATAAATCATCATTACATATTATCAACTCAAGCATCTTACTGATTCATTAAAATTTTATTCTATTGATACTCATTTAATGTATGGTTATAGTTTGTTAAAAGATTTGAAGGAAGAGGATTTTGTTAATCTTGATAGCTGGGTGCCTAAATAGTTGCTGGGTTAATATGAGAAAGATATTCTCAATAAACTTCTAAAATCATCAAAAGAAGAGGAAAGAAAGCAATAAAATCAATAACAAAATAAGCCACCTTAATATGATCCTTTCCCGATTGGAGGAGGTTCTGGAAGCCAGTAATACTAACCCCCCTTCAGGCCTCATATAATTGGTGATCCTACCTACCCGTATATAATTTTTCGTCCAAAATAATGATTTTTAGAAATACAAGTCCACTTTTCATACCATCCTCATTTAGACCACCGGGAACAAGTGGACCAGGTGGAAATCTTGTTGGACCAGGCAGTAGTATATTCCATCCAAGTGGTCATCCATATCCAGATGAAATTGATCCAGCTACTGGTGGTGGTATTCCCTTTTTGTAAGAAAAATATTCTAAACTTAAATATATTATTAGAGGAGGCAATGATCCTAATGATTTGTTCCCTAGCATCCCGGGAATCAATGATCCTAGAAATAGAAGAAATCCATTTGGTGGAGGTGGCTTTGGACCAGGTGGCTTTCCTCAAGGTCCAGGGTTTGGAGGTCCCTTTGGAGGTAGTGGTTTCGGAGGTGGAGGCTTCGGCGGTGGCGGCTTTTATTCTTGAATAATTATTTGTTTTTCTTAATTTCATGAATTTGATTCTCATCTGTCTAAATATTCTCAAATCTTGGGGTTTTGGGGTTTTGGGGTTTTGGGG